ACTTTAAAATGAACTATCAGAATCAACAAACATGCTTTTTCTTATTTGCACAATGAATGAATATTCAAAAGGGGATATATCAATATCGGTATCAGTTATCAGCCAAATAAGTTGTTATATATCGGCATATTGGAAATCAGCAAAAAATCCAATATCGTGCATCCCTACTTTGTACACAGAGATTGCATTTTGGGGCCACTATGACATCCTTTCTTTACGCTGCTGCTGCACAGAACCAAACAACGGCAGCATAATGCCGGTCCAGTGTGTGATCTTAGACAGCATGCCAGCATCCAGCAGGCAAGAGAGGTGTGACGGGCATGACACAACAGTGTTAGCCTCAAGTGTGACATATAACATACGCATCAGCAGTGCTTTAAACAATGACATTAAACATCCGCTGTTTGAAATGGAGTCACTGGACGTTTAGGAGGTGTACCATCCACCAGCATTGGCTGCTCTCTCCTCAGCTCAGCATCAACTTTGCCCTGTGCAACACTGTTTTTTTCCTAATGGGACTTTTTGACTGAAAGTTGGTGCTTCCCAGTGTATTGACCTATTAGAGGCTGATGCTGGTGGACAGTGCAAACTTTCAGCATGTTCTAAAACTGCATTTCAGACAGTGGACTGCAGTAACATGTCTATCCTTCCTATGGTAGGCTGTAGCCGAGCGAGCAAATGAAAGAGACAGTCAGTGTGTTGTGTGATTTCTGTCAATGGCATTTGGTCTAATTCACCGTGTTGACTGCAGCCGTTCACCGCACATAGACTACAAATTCCATTATGAAAATAAACCACACATTAACTAAGGAGGAGAGCAACTCACAGAGATATAACTGAGGCTATGATGCTCCAATTATGGTATAATACAAGCTGAGTTGACTAGCTGGCTTACTTTGCTGTTTACGGTGTTCATGACAGTGAACCTGCACGAGCTTGGAGGATGACATATGAATTACAGATATAGTCATAAGTCATCCTCCTGTTTTAGCAACAACCTTCTGTTTTTAACTTTGAGCATAAAATTAAGTTATTTAAATATTCGGCAAACAGTGTAACAGTGTGGCCAAACAATATTGCCACGACATGACTCAGTTAAATATATAATATCATAAAAATGCCATAATACACTGGAGAGGGGCTTTAAGTATATTTAATAGCAAATACAGTGGAAATTAGAGATCAACACCTCTCGGGTTGTATAGATTTGTCTCTGTTTTTTTTATAGTTTTTTTAGGTTTATAATACCTTATTATCACCACAATAAAATGTACTGAAATGACTTTAAATGTGGCTCAAAAGGGCAGCTTATATTTTGGCCAGTAAAAAATATGCTTGGTCAGTGGATTTTTTCATCTACCAGCCCATTTGGCCAGTGAATCAATATACATATAGCATAGATGACAAAATGAAATAAAATAAATTTCCCTATGTGGGATCAATAAACCCAACCCTAAATAACTGTGATGACATCATGTGGGGGTCATTTTTTCAGTGGTTAGCACTATCGCCTCACAGCAAGAGGGTTCCTGGTTCGAACTCAGGGTAGGGGAGCCCTTCTGCTAGGAGTTTGCATGTTCTCCCCGTGTCAGCGTGGGTTTTCTGCGTGTACTCTGGCTTCAGACATGCAGGTTGGGAATAGGTTAATTGGTGACTCTAAATTGTTCGTAGGTGTGAATGTGAGTGTGAATGGTTGACTGTCTCTATGTGTCAGCCCTGTGATAGTCTGGGGACCTGTCCAGGGTGTACCCCATCTCTCGCCCAATGTCAGCTGGTATAGGCTCCAGCACACCTGTGACCCCCATGGGGATAAGCAGTTACGGGAAAAAGGTGAATGAATAAATATAAAAAAGCTCCCTCCAAAACCTAAGAAGATATTGTGGTTGATTTTTACAGGTTGAGAATAACTAACAATGATGAGTAAACTGACCCTAATATTCAATAAATGAATGCCCCTTTAATATAATTTTTTTGCAAAACATAATTTATTCAAACCGACTATTTAAAGTAGCATTATAAAGCAGTATGTAGACGATTAACAAATAGTTTATAACACAGTATAAGATAGGTTAGTTATAGGCAGATTAGGGATAGACCGATATGGATTTTTTAGGGCCGATGTCAATACCGATTTTTTTCCATCACCCTTAGCCGATGACAGATTATGGACTGCCGATTTTCTTGAGCCGATATTTGGGGCCGATACTGCTTTTGCTCCCTCAATTTACATCAAAAAAATGACACAATGATAACAAATATTACAGGTCTCAAGTTTAAAATAAGAAACATTTATTGAACAGTAAAAAATACTAAACAAGATGGAAAGTTGAGGTAGAACAGGTAGAATATTATTATTATTATTATTATTATACATTCAAATAAAAAAAAGATTTCAGTGCTCTTAAATCTTCCAGTAATGTCTTTATAAAATAAACAAATATTTAAGCTGAAGCAAATAAAACAACAACTACTGTACACAGTAGGATTCGCTGCATGTGCGCTGCAGGGTCTTCCGGCAACACAGAGCTGCCCGTGGATGCCTGTCTGTAAATCATGCCAGGGAAAAATAAATCCGTGAACCCACGCGCATATTGGCCGATGCCGATACAAGTAAAAACTCAAATATCGGCCCGATATATCGGCCGGCCGAAGTATCGGTCTATCCTTAATGCAGATCTATATTCATTTTTAGATGTTATTTACCACATGTCTCAACAACTGTAACTCATCCACAAAGGATCCATGAGTCATGTATAAAGAGTGAATGACATTCATTTTTAAAGCACCTGTGAATGATTTGAACTCGTACATTAACAATTAATAAATGCGTCATGCTGTACTGTATGGATTCGTTCCTGGGGAATCATGTATCAGTTTATATGATAATAATTGTTTTAGAGTGTTAAGAAAACAATCTCCCCTCAAGGGCCATTTAGTAGCTGTTTTGGAGCTTTTGATCATATTGCATGATCTTATTCTTAGCTATACCGTGTTGTTAACTATTTACACACTGACAAGTACAATAATACTTAAACAGTGTCTCAACATCTGCTTACACTGTATGGGGTGTTATAATCATTTATAGTGTGTATACACTGATTTGGGACTGTTTGCTATTTATGAGTGGGGAGGGGATGGTGTGAAAAGTGGAGGTATGTCAAATATTTTTTAAGCACTGAGGAGGGACATGTGTTTTTTTTTATTTTGGTTTAGGGAAGGGGTATACAAATTTGAATGGTTGCATTTGTATTTATTTTACTGCCGATTTTTAAAGAAAACATGCCTTCAAGGAATGTTAAAAATCACCAAAATGACACCATTTATCATGGCCAAAAACTGTAAAAACAGATATCATTATTGGATTTTCAAATTTCCTTGAACACATCATGTGCAACAAACCCTTCCATCAGAAAAGAACATAACCAAATCTGGCTTTTTTCAACCCCAGGATTTCATCTTCAACTTTTAACTTTTAACTTCCAAACATCAAAGGCTACGTTTTAAAAATCTATTAACTAATTTACGGTGGAGGGAGGGTCATGCATTTTCACTCAGGAAGGCTCAAGGAAAAATATTAATAGCTTCATGCAGGGTCAAAAATAAATAAATAAATAAAACTAAGTCACACTCCGCCACCCCTCTTCTCTGATAAGTAAAAACAGCCCTTTAGAACTGCTGAAAAGTGGTGCATGGGAGGTGGTTAAAAAGTGTCACCCAACAAAGTGTTAAACATGGATGTATTAGGAAGACTTGATAGAGCATTGAATGTCTCATCTAAGTAATGTGAAAATTACTTAGATGATCCAGGGATTACTGCCACTGCTTAATATTAATAATAGCCAGACAGCGGACCACACCAGACGCCGCCTATTCTTTCTAATGGAGTTGCTCGCCTGGCACATACACCAAAAAAGTTTTCTAACTTTCAGGTTTACTTCCACGGTATGCAGCCCACTGAATATGTGCAATAGCGTTTCTCCCACTGGCAAGGCCAAAAAGATGTATAACTGACCTTGTTTGCAGTTGGAGATGTCCTGTCAGCAGATTTACATATGTCTCTTTTATAATGGTGATCTATGGGGAAAATGCTTTTTGGGCCACGGGGGCTTTTTTCACTGCAATACTGCAATTGGCCATTGGGAAACATTTGCAGCAAGGATGAGCTGCTTTCCTGTGAGCCTGTTGCCAAATGGCTAACTTAATGGTTTAGTGCTCTACTAACTTAAATGGGGTTATAAAGATTTAATCTTAAGGCTTTTCAAGACCTTCCAAATGTAATCAGGCACAGCGGATCAATTCATCAATTCATTTTGCTGGGGTTGTGATGCTCAAAGGAACTTATCCACTTATTTACAGCCGTCTCTTTCGCCATGTAAGTCTATGGGAAAAAGTCTTCTTGGGCCGCAGGGTATCACCTGAGGGACCCTGGAAATTGCAGTATCACTGTTTGGCCACTACGAAAATTGGCTTCAAAGCCCAGTGCACTTCCTGTACTTTTTTGAAGCACCTATGAATGTAATGGTCACTGTGGGGTGGGGGGTGGGGGGCAGAGTTCTTATTTTGTCTTATTTTTATTCTATTCTGTAGAACTGATATTGCTGATATTGATATGTCGTTGATATAGCCTGCTTGCACAGATTTTAACTGAACTGTTGTGCTTTCTAGCTCAGTATTTGCTGGACCCTGTGCACTTTAACTGAAGGCTGCATAAATACACACAGCGCATTCTACCACTGCTTTAAAACATGTCGATGCTGACTTTCTTTAGAACAATGAGATAGCATTACTGTGCGTGTCGTCATTATTACAATACTGTATAATAGCTAGCTCGGCTGTTTTCCTGCTGGTGGTTTGGCCTCATGCTGAGTTCTGGCTGTAGTCCATTTTCTGACTGCACAGAGAGCTGCACTGGCCCCAGCAAGAGCAAGCCACCAAATTAGCCTCGGTTGCTACTGAGAGAGTGTGTGTGTGTATATCTGTGTGTGTATTAGCCTACTTACGGGATGCTGAGGATGCAGCGCTGGAGGTGCTGATGATGCTACACAGAAGTGGCAGCAACCACAGCACTGTCAAATAAGACATCTTCAGAGATAATCCACACAGACAATAACGCAGGTCCAGGCGGGTCTCGGTGCGGTGTTCCCGCTGGGGTGTCTGTCTGTTGTTCCTGTGATACACAGCTGAGACGCTGCTTTCTTTATTAGCAGCGAAAGGGAAAAAGCAATGGCTGTCCGCCCTGTGCGTATTGTCTTATCTCTCCTTTCTTCTCAACCTGCCCAGTGGCACTCCGGCGGGATTTCACTGACAACCTCCGGAACTAGCCTGTGAACAGAACGCAGTTGTACTGCAGCCGGGCCTCGCGCTCCAGGTGCATGGTCAGACAGACAGACTGACACACAGAGCTGTCCAACTGCTGAGCTGCCGGACTAATCAATACACCCCTGCTCTCTGCTCCACTTGGTACCGCCCGATACATACAACAATACAGGGCTCCCTGAAATGAAGAGGGGAGAGAGGGGAGCAGCGGGGTCCGCATATGGCGCTTTATGAGGGACAAATTTAGGACAAACGTTACTGAGAACTCGGCAGAGGCTGTATCCTTGCCGAAGCCAGCTTCAGCTCGGGACAATGATGAGCCGGCTCTGGAGCGTTCATATCTGAGCTGTTTGGGCTGTTGTAACCGAAACTTGGAATGTTCGTCGGATTTTCCGGTTCTTTTGGCCAGGTGTGAAAGCTTTCAGTCGAACCCTGTCGTGGACCAAACAACCGAACCGAGTGCACCCGAAAAGATCCCCCTGATACACTCGATAGAACCCCTATTAATCGGAGGTCGACATTACTGTCTTAAAGAGGCTGTGGCATGCTGTTTTTGTTTAAGCTGGTACTGAAATTAGACAACCTAAGGTACCCATTGGTCCCCACCTACCAACATATCTTATCAGAAAGGGGAGCTAAATAACACAATAAATTAGGCTACAATTTTGTGAGGGAACAATTGGCATTGCCATTTTCAAAGGGCTCCTTTGGACTGTCACCTCAAGATATCTGAATGAAAATGGGTTCTCTGGGTGTCCCCTAAACTTGAGAAGGCTTAGTATCAGTGAATGTTTTGTTCTCTGCAATACTGTACTCCTTCAAATTAAAGCTGTAGGCTACATTTATCTTTTAAGGAAAAGAACAACCAGACTATTTGAAGAGCAGTGAATTGTCTAACATGTATTAATACATAACAGAACACATTAAAATAGGGTTATTGTAGAACTCAAATGTTAACTATACCAGTATTAGTCCATGCACATCAGATAATTAGTAATATCAAGGGACTGTTCTTTATTTTTTAGAGGAGAGGGGAGGCTGAGATGTGACTTTATTTTCTTGTACATTTTCTTTTTTTTTATGTCTGTTTTGTTTTTGTTTTTTTGTTTTTTTTTACCCAAAGCTACAAATATAGCCTCCTGAGTGATGGGTGAAAAATGCATGACCCTCCCTCCACAGTATATTAAGCCCTTTTTAAATAGGAACTGTGCATTTGCCAATCAGTCTTCATTCAGCATTGGCAGTATAAAAGCAAAATCGGGGAGTGCAGCAAAATGCCGTCTACCTACTTTTGTTCATACAGAATGTGCCTTTTTTGGGCCAAGGGGGGCGTGAAAAAGTAACAAAACATGTAGCTCAGCATGCAACGCAACGCGGCTGGTCAGTCCTTCGGTGATTCTCTCATAAGTTGACCCGTCCTTCACCGCTCCCATCATCTGACGGTTAATGGCCTCTTCGTTTGCGAGGGCAAGGAGGGTGCGCAATTCTTTGTCTCCCCAGTTGCTCATCTTTACAGTGTCTTTCAGGTTTGCAATTCCCTCTTGCTACTAGCTGCTTGCTAATTCCTGCTTTCAGCTGTTTCCTGTTAGTCCACCACCAGTGGCTCGCACGTGTCATCAACAGCTCCTCCCACAAGTCATCAACAGCCCATCCCGTGGTGGAAGGGCGCCTCATTCTTTTTAAACCAAAAGGTTCTGCCAATATGTTTACCCCTTCGTGG